ATATATATATATATATATATATATATATATATATATATATATATATATATATATATATATATATATATATCCCTCGTGCATAGAATGAACATATACCCACAAGAAAATGTGAAAATTCAAAAATATGGCAGTTTGCGATTCCAGTTACATGCAATGAATGTTGTTTGGAAATCTGTAATTTCAGTGGAACTCCAACTTAATCTGTGTTATCTGTCGAGTGTAACATTCCGGAAAGATCCTGGGAGGAGATAAAGAAACCATAAGTAAATCATCAGATTTTGATAAAAACAAATCAAAAAATCGAAAACGACAGCCACGACAGTGGGGAACATTCCGAACTAAGATCACTTGTTCAAGAACGGCTAAAGTCCCCTATTTCTTTGTTCACAAGGGATCAACACCACCCCCATCGTGGGTGCGGTGGCTTCCCGTTGTCTCGTATGGAGGAAAAAATAGCGCTCCTTATCAGCGATGTCTGCATCTTCGACGAAAAATAAATGAATTAAAAAATGTCATATTCATACCATCTCCGGGATGTTCGTTTCGTTTCCCAGGAAAAGTGTAAGAGAGTCCCGTCGTACTGTTGTATAAAACAATTCTATCGCTGTCGTAACTGGCTGCGTAAAGTGTTCGAAGATCAGCAAAACTGTAGAAGACAAAAAATTCTTTCAGAGAGGCTCAAGAGAGAGGCTCAACATTTCGGCAGCTTTGTTGGTTCAGTAGGAACCACTGCTTACAAAGAAAAAGTAAACGTTTATCATAGAAAATTCGACCGGGGAATTTGATTGTCTAGTCGTCATATCTTTTTGCACATTTCAATTCGGGGATTGCTCTTACTTTGGTTCAAGCAAAATGGGTGACAGGCACGTAAAGCGAGCGCAATTCAAAAACTTGATCTAAAGCAGCACGGCCTACCTCACGCTGGAGGGTCCCTCGAGGCCACCACCCGCAGCATAAACGTCGATGAAATTACCTGAAACAACCAAAACATTCCGATGGAAAAGTCGTACCTTCAAAGTTGTTGCTTGATCAGTTGAGCCTGAGTTTTCAAGTGCCCCCTCGAGGGACATGTTGAGAGCAGTACCCACTATCCGTCTTACGGTGCGACTACTCGAACCGGGCCACTTGGAAAAGAGTTAACCAATCAAAACTTTACTTGAGAACAAAGAATAGCGATCATTTTCTTAAGTAAACCAATAACATTTAATAATACAAACAACATAGTTCTATTACAAAATTGGATACCCAACAAAAGTGTGACTTGTTGCGGACCTCTCAGGAAACGTTGCCACTTGTTGATTGGTTTGTTTCGATCCTAAATTTTTAGGTTTAGGTTTAGTTGTCGCGAGACTTGACTACGAGTAGTCCCTCTTTCACTTAGTCCGTCGAGCGAGACCGTAAATAAAACAACGAGGAAATAATGGCCGTGTGAAATCCTGAGGGCGAGACGCGCGCGAAAGGAAGGACCTTCCTTTCGCGCGCGTCCCACCCCGAGGAGTTCGCGCGGCCTTTTTTTTCTCGCGATGTAATTTCGCGCCACGCACAACGGACTATTAAAGCGAAAGTGGTACGACTACTCATAGTCTATCGCGAGACGAGTTTTCAAATTAGAATTTTCTAGTGAAAATTCGCGGTCAAGGATTGAATGTGTAGAAGTGTATATGACACAGAGGAGTCGATTGTATTCACGTATTCATGTAAAACGAACCCTTACTTGTGCTCCCGAAAAAGACAGCACTCCATTGTTCTCAGTTTAAGTTCGGATTAATTGGTTAGTTTTCTTCTACGTGGCCGAGTTCAAGTAGTTTCATTGTTAGAGGATTTAGCCGTGAAAAGAATCAGCAAAAAGACTGACAAATAGCAGCGACCTTATCCACGTGACCGCTTTAGAGCTGCTTCGAGTATATCAGCTTGGGTCTCAAGTAAATCGTGTCAATATCAGAACTCTTTTTTCATTTCACATTTTTCCAAGGGGTTCATAGCCCTGCGTTGTTGATCTCGTTTAAGGCGCGCATGCGCAACTGTACAGTTTGTTTTCCAATGGCCGCTAATAAAATCTTAAAGACTGTACTAGACGGCACGAAGTTCCGTTACTTTGTGCCCACGGTACTGCCTAGAAATGTTAACGGAACCCATTGCCGCCTCCTACTGTAGCAGCGGGGTTTTGAAATTAGATTCAAGAATTCTGTAGGAGTTTACACCTATACTTTTACATTTCAATACCTGTGCGTCCATTAAATCGAAGAATGCTATTCGAAACGTAGCTTGTAACATAGACGTTTCTGTAATTGAGAACAGAAAGTGCGTTAAGTAATAATAGACTAACCACTCCCAAAACATCACCCAAGTGTTTAAAATCAGGTGCTGCACATAAGATCGATGTAAAACGCTTTGAACCTTTAGGATAAATCAACCTTGTTCTCCAGGTTCTCGCTCCGGAAGGGCAGGATATGAGGCCCTGGGAACGAGGTTGGGGGCGAAGAAGGGTAAAGAAGAGCCTGAACGGGGGGAGGAGATAAAAGAGAAGGCAAAACGTGAGGGAGGGGCAGGGGGGGGGAGAGGGGAAGGTAGAGGGAAAATTCACTCACCCATCAGAACCCACAGTCAAGCCGACCGGTTTTTCCACTCTAGCAAATACGCCAAGGTTTTCGCCTAAACGAAGAAAAAAGGCGTTAGAAATGCACAAAAAAGAAATCGAGTTTTGCTCCCAAAAAGCTTACTTTTTTTGTCTTCGCCTAGAACAAAACATTCAGCTTCTCCACTCATTGAACTTTCAGCATCTGAAGTGGTTGCTATCCTGAGGAAATTCGTTTTGAAAGAAGCGACTTCGGAGCCCGCCATTTTGAACTGTACTTGGTAGCCAGGCCGTGTATATGTAACATCATTCCGTCCGACTCGCAAGGAGAAAAACCTGCAACTGACTTTATATCCTTCACAAGGTCAGCAAAATGTATTTCTCCAAGCAATTATCCACTTCACTATCCTCACTGCTATCATTTTCGGAGTTTGGAGCAAGTTTGGCTCAAAATAATACGGCTCAACAGCAGCCATGACTCAGAGAAATAATTAAAAGGCTTGCCGGAAGCTATTTGAACAAAATCTCTTGGACGGAATGACATCACGAAAATGCGGCCTGGCTGCTGAGTACTGTTCAAAATGGCGGCAACGATGTCGAATCTTGCGCTCTCTTTGGAGACGAATTTCAGAAGGTAAACCTGCACTTTAGAGGCGGAAACTTCGGTGAGTGGCTAAACTTGGTGCGAGGTTTTTATTAGCGTTGACAAAAAATGAAACGTTTTTTGAAGTGACCTTTTCCTTTAATCATCGTTCCCTCCCAGGTTTCATCACAATACCTAGCAACACGAGAGCCCGTTCAGTTTTAATGAAAGTGAAAATTTAAGCTATGCTATTTTGCCATCCAAGAAGAATAAACGGTCCGCAATGCGTACTTGTGGGCTTATGGCTAGTGTTATTCCATGCGATCCATTGGGTTGCCGTATTCTAGTCTTCGAGTAAGCAACTACAAGAATGATAAATACAATACAATAATAAATTATTAAATTAAATACAATAATAAATTAGTTTGGTAATACTGTCGCGTGACTTGTCGGTTCGCGCTAGGAACGTACTTGAGCCTGCTGTTTTAACTACCCAGCGTTTCCTTACAACCCGATATAATCAATATTTTCTCCATGCCAAAAGTAGTTGTCAGTGTGGCACTGAACGATTGAGAAATCGGAAATAACTTACCTTGAAAACTGCAACTAAACTCGCAACTGTAAGTTGTACAAGAATTACTTAAAACAAAATAAGGGCGCAGACAATACGATAGGAAATAAAGCGCCCAACAAAGCCTGCAGAAGGCTGGCAATGGCCGCCATCGAAGGACCCGGCGAAGGATCACTCGAAATTACTGGTACCCAATCTAACTATAGGACAAAATATGCTTCGGGAGGTCCGTTACGTGTCATCCCGTATACATGTACACAAGATTTGCCCAGACTTAGCGGGCCTTACGCATTTATAATGAATAAGCCCACAAAAAATTATATGTACACCACATTACTGCAGATGTACTCAGTTCACTGACCGGAAGAAGAGTTGAATTTCAGCACAACATCTGTGTAATGGCTGCAGATAAGGAGGGTGCCATCTTTAAGGAATGCGACATCCTCGGGCCTGAAAATCACAAATTATTACCTTATAGTCGCGCACACACACTACAATCGAAACCTAGCCTAAGGGGGACCTCCCATAAAGAGGAAACGTCCCAAGGAAACCTCCCCCTGAGGTGTGTCTTTATGTCTTTTATGGCCAGAGAGGGTTTTGTGCTTGTACAACTCACTCTTGCCTCTATTCTCTCTAGTTGTAATTTTGATCGAGACTCTTCGTATAATTTATTTCAGTTATGTGATTAAACATCATGTCTCCTGCGTTTGATTGACATACATATAATTATCATAGAAACGTTTCCATACCCCTTTAGGCCATGGGTTTTATCAGCAACCTGCAAAATGTCCAGAATATGGTTGTAAAATATATTTAATTCCAGTCAAGACAGGATGATTTTACTACCACCATGAGCGCACTGTAGACCGCTAGAAGCAAAACGTAGACAGAAGCATTGTCCCCCAACATGCTGTCATCTCTATTTAAGTTTACCGTATACCTTTAGAAGTGTCTCGCGTCTACATGTAAGTGATGTAACGCGTTCAGTTAAACTGTAAGAGCTGGCTATCAAACCATACCAAGAATTTTGGACGCGAAACACAGGAATTCCCCAGGAAATGTTCAAATCTAGGCAACTTTACACATGGGCAGAGTTCAAACGTTAGAGAACGTTGTGATGGCTCTCACGCTAACAGTTTAGAATAAGGACTTCAAGATACGCTACGGTGAGCCTCTACTGCGGCTACTTTGGCCGTGAGGGACTAGGCTGACAACGCCGTTTTCTCCGCAAAACTAAACGGATTAAGATTTCGCGTGTGTAGCCTCTATGTGTGTTTGGAACAATGGCTTCGTTGAAGGGAACAAGGGACTTTATTCTACTTTCATACGACATAGGCTTAATTAAAGATGAGGATTTCTTCCTCCTGTATCCGTCTTGCATCTCCCAGAACTTATATTTGCCTCTCAGCGGCTTTTAGGGCTGCCTGTAATTCCAACCACAAAACAAAATAACACTGATAAAAAGTTCGAATTGAGCCACAGGCTGGGTGTTCGTACAACGTGATAAACTCGAAATTACATAATTTTTGATTCTCATACAATGCATTTTGAACAGCAATAAAAAACAATATTACAGCTCAGCTCAGTATGTACGAAGCTTCCTTGTCTGCGGCCGTTCGGCTGCGTTGCGTTGCGTTGCGCTGCTTAATCTATATATTCATTTCAAATGCCACCGTGAGTTGTCTTTTGCTGCGCTCATTGCGTTGCATCGCGTTGCGCTGCGCTGCGTTGCATTGCGTTACGTTTCGTTCTGATCCTAGAAAAACAAATCCTGTTTTTCCTTTATGGTTGATTATTGCAATCAGGCTTGGCTAAGTCTATATATTACATTCTGTTTAATTTCAAATGCCACCGTGACTTGTTTTTTGCAGTCAATACTCACCACTCCAAGAAACTCTCCTTCGGGGATCGAGAATTTTACAACTTTATCATTCAGGAAGCTTGCCACATAAAGTGTGTCGTTAGGTCCAATAGCCATACCCTCAGGACAATCAAGATTACTCTCATTACCAAAGGCACCTACAAACCTGCAAACACATGACACAAAACATTCCTTAAAACCTAGTGCTAGCTTTCTTGTGTACTGTTAAACTCAGTATAAAAAGAGCAAGATTTCCATAATCCAGAATGCCACCATCTAAAGGCAATAGATTGCGACCACCTCTCGTAAGCGACCACCTCTCCTCAGCGACCAGTTTTCCAAAATCCCGAAAGTCTCCAAGTCAAATCACTACATTTGGAACCTCTTGTAAGCGACCAGCTCTTATAAGCGACCGCGACCATTTTTAGAGCCAAAAGTTTGAAATTTTCTTTTGTTTTCGTCCTCCCAAAAGCGACCACTTGACAGATAATTGAGAGAAAATTGTATAATGTAGATTTTGATGGATCATTTTGACCACTCTTTATCACTTGATGCTACAACCATGGTATCAAAAAACTGCCCAATCATTGGTGAACACGTTGTTGTCATTTTCGTGACACAATAAGTTCCCATAGCAACAGTATGACCCACTAAATACACCCTTAATTACAGCTTTAGGGGCTTAAAATTCAAAAACAGCACGGTGAAATTTTTTTGTTATCAACTTTTACATGAAATAAGCATGATAAGACGCAACTTTTGGCAAACTTTTAAAAAAATCTGTATACAAGATTCAGAGCCATCTTAAAGTTTTGAAAATTTAAGGTGGCTCTGAACTCTATGTAAAGAATTTAAAAAAAAAATCAACATTTCTAAATTCCAATTCGATCGGGAATTCGAGGGCCACGGGTTTGTCAGTCATAAGACTGTTGTGTGTTAGCCTCGTTAAACAAAGTTAATTTATTTATTGCGTTCGACGAAGTGGAACGCAACCTAACTTTGACCTGTGGCTTTCCAGAGTTGGTTGCCCTGCGCACGGTTATGGGCCGAAAAAAACCACATTCCTGTAAGGACACCAAAATGGCCACCCCGCTTGATTTTTGCAGGGGCATGTCACGGCCAGTAAACTGGTACCGTTTAATG